ATTCTTGGTTCAAGTCCGGGTTGTAGTGAAATTATTGATAGATCATAAAATTCAAACACTAACGTACATGTTAATTGTTCTTGGTTCAAGTCCGGGTTGTAGTGAAATTATTGATAGATCATAAAATTCAAACACTAACGTATGTATTAATTGTTCTTGGTTCAAGTCCGGGTTGGAGTGAAATTATTGATAGATCTTAAAATTCAAACACTAACGAATGTGTTAATTGTTCTTGGTTCAAGTCCAGATTTGGGTGAAATTATTGATAGATCGTAAAATTCAAACACTAACGAATGTGTTAATTGTTCTTGGTTCTAGTCCGGGTTGTAGTGAAATTTTGATAGATCGTAAAATTCAAACACTAACGAATGTGTTAATTGTTCTTGGTTCAAGTCCGGGTTGGAGTGAAATTATTGATAGATCGTAAAATTCAAACACTAACGAATGTGTTAATTGTTCTTGGTTCAAGTCCGGGTTGTAGTGAAATTATTGATAGGTCATCAAATTAAAACACTAACGTATGTATTAATTGTTCTTGGTTCAAGTCCGGGTTGTAGTGAAATTATTGATAGATCATAAAATTCAAACACTAACGTACATGTTAATTGTTCTTGGTTCTAGTCCGGGTTGTAGTGAAATACTTTGAAATCGAGGTTAATACTTACAAAAGCTGCTTTTATAGAGTTATCAAGAACAAAAGTTTGCCAAAGATTTAAAGCAGACAATTTTATCTGAGTTCTAAAAATAACTACATACTGAACCTAAATGATAAACTTTAACACATCTTCTGCTGTCAGTGATATCAAAATTGTTCTTTGTGTCCTACCAATAATATTGCATTTTATAGTAAAAATTGTAAGATTCAATTTTTGTTTGTTGGGGGAGACAGAACACAATCTCATGGGAACATCTCATTTTTTAATATGATTGGGTTTTGTTTCACCAGTGATTGGTACCCATAAAGTATCATTAAGGTATTTAGTCATTCCTGTATTATTAGTTTAACTACATCTACATATTATACTCATGGTTAAATGTATAGTTGTAAAATAGAATGCTTAGTATTCTTACTGCCAGTTCTCATTATGGACGATAGGTGGCCGAAAATTCCTCAATTTCCTATTTATATATATTAGTTGTGATGTTTTGATCATTTAGTACCTTCGACAAGAAACCATATAGAACATGATCATCGTGAGGTTCAGAACAAAAACCGTGTTGAGTTTCTACATATTGATATTTCTATAATGTAGATTATCTAGATAAGAAATCATTTAGAACATGATCATCACGAGATTCAGAACATAAACCGTGTTGAGTTTCTACATATTGATATTTCTATAATGTAGATTATCTAGATAAGAAATCATATAGAACATGATCATCGTGAGGTTCAGAACATTAACCGTGTTGAGTTTCTACATATTGATATTTCTATAATGTAGATTATGTAGATAAGAAACCATTCAGAACATGATCGTCGTGAGGTTCAGAACATAAACCGTGTTGAGTTTCTACATATTGATATTTCTATAATGTAGATTATCTAGATAAGAAATCATTCAGAATTTGATCATCATGAGGTTCAGAACAAAACCATGTTGAGTTTCTACATATTGATATTTCTATAATGTAGATTATCTAGATAAGAAATCATTCAGAATTTGATCATCGTGAGGTTCAGAACATAAACCGTGTTGAGTTTCTACATATTGATATTTCTATAATGTAGATTATCTAGATAAGAAATCATTCAGAATTTAATCAGAATATTCTCTAACTTCATTGTATTAATTGTTGAAACTACAAGATTGTTTGTTCCAGGGAGAAACAGTTACTTAATTCTGATATACATCACAACAATTAAATATTATTGTTTTATAACAAATGATCTTGTTTTTAATCACTGTAAATTTTTGTAAACAATAATTCTATTTTACCAATATCAACTTTGTTTGAAAAGAAATTCCTGTCAATAGTTGTTTAATTTTTTTATTTCAGGCTAATTTAACTGAATTAAAATCCTTTGGGTCTCCCCCAGCTGTTGTAACAAATGTAACGGCTGCAGTGATGGTACTACTCGCTACAGATGGAAAAGTTCCAAAAGACCGCAGCTGGAAAGCGGCTAAAGTGATGATGGGGAAGGTAATAGAGCATTACACATTGAATAAAAAATCTTGAGAACTGTTTAGGTGGACATTTTTATTAATTTTTAATTACATCAGTTTAATTGCCATATAAACTGGTATTAAGGTAACACAAAGTGTTTTAAAATAGTGTTGAATTGTTCTTGTGTTGTGAACAACCATGTGACTCAAAGTCCTGAAAGATGTAGAGCATGCATCAACTCACTCTTACTTCTCTCACCTTATTGCACCTACATCAGAAGAACTTGCATAATCTCGGTTTTTCTGCCATAATTTTCATAAGCTCTATTTTCTGCCATAATTTTCATAAGCTCTGTTTTCATGCCATAATTTTCATAAGCTCTATTTTCCTGCCATAATTTTCATAAGCTCTATTTTCCTGCCATAATTTTCATAAGCTCTATTTTCATGCCATAATTTTCATAAGCTCTGTTTTCATGCCATAATTTTCATTTTATTGTTAACAGTTGTGCTTTTTAACATCACTTATTATGAATACTGATGTCAACTTTAGTTATAGGTACATATGTTTCTATCGACATTAAATCCTACAACTTCTTTGAAGACCTTACTCAAGCATGCAGGGATATCCTGTGATAGTATTATTGATCAACTCATTCAGAATGTTGATGCCAAATTCTGTACTGGTGGGTTTCACACTCATTTGTGGAACACCCACCCTTTTCTCATGAAGTTACAAAGAATAAAAAAAAAAGATATTTTGTACAGGCCTCTTCATCTTCCTTGTTGAAAAGAAGGATTTGTCAGCTATAACCCTAATTCTGAAGAAGATTCTACTAATGTAGTTTCTTCTTGTTTTTTTAGGTGTTTTCTTTTTCAAATCTTGAACTAATTTTTCTTATGCCTGGTGTTAATTGCATATTGAATGATTCAGTTGAATCTGTATATTTTACACCATCTCTTAATTTTTGAGTTATTGTTGATGATTTTTATAACCTCGGCCTACTGTTCGTTTTTTTGTTTGTGAGGAAGTCTTTCCCTTTACTCATCTTGCTTCTCAAGTCCTCGGGCCAACAGTTCGTTTGTTTTGTTGGTGGGGAAGTCTTTCCCTCTACTCATCTTACTTCTCAAGTCTTCGGTCTACAGTTCGTTTTTTGTTCGTGGGGAAGTCTTTCCCTCTACTCATCTTACTTCTCAAGTCTTCGGTCTACAGTTCGTTTTTTGTTCGTGGGGAAGTCTTT